TACGTACATTTAATACTGGAGATTGATCATGCTATCGGTAAGGTATTTTGCGACATCGCGCAGAATTGTGTAGTGAACTCTTTATGCTCAGAAACTGTTGGACGTATCAGCTAAACAGAAAGCATTCACGTCTCCGTCAACTTTAATACACATTTTTGGACAAATCGCAATAGCTAATTACTTTTGCCTTATCATGCTAGTCACTCTGTATCTTTCTACACACAATAAGGTTGGATGGATCTTCGAAATATTGAACATTGCGGATTCAGAGGTTTTGTTTTTAATTGCTTTGTGCGCATTGCTGAAATAGCGTAAGAGGATTGATTGTCTCCAACCAGGAGACAATCAATCCTCTTTGGATTGAAAAACTTTGATTGATTGTCTCCAACCAGGAGACAATCAATCAAAGACTTTTTTGATGCGACCGTAAACAAAAACTTGAACAAACTTGTAATAACCGTATCAGTTTATATACAAAACGATCGGTTCATTCTCTGTTCATAAGTGCACGCCAAATAATAATAGGAATGCCGAATGAGGAAAAATAACTTGATGGAAAAGTGGTTATTTTTCCTACAATAAAATTACTTGGAATTGACAAGAGAAGTACAAACAAACCACTAAATATGGTTCAAGCTGTAGCGGTGTGCGTATTTATATCAGACTAAACGTGCTGTTTGTCACATAAGCGCCTTATCACAACTAAAAGAAGCTATAAGCAATGCTGACTTAAACTGTGGCAGAGGAAAGTTTCTTGTTGCTATCTTGGCTGAAATTATAAACACATTGATTCGGCAGTTAAAAGAGGTTGACTTTTTCTCTCGAGTTATCGAGACTCTAATGACGTACAGAAAGACTGTTCTTAAAAGTGAGTGAACAGACGGCAAAATTGAGCACGCGCCACTGACAAATCTCGGATGGGTGTCGGAGTTCGCAAAGTTGGGAAATCGCTTAAAAATATATTGTGGAACTAAACCAGAACAGACATTTTATCAGTCAATTTTAAATTTTATATTAAATTCTTTCAGCGTTCAAAAGTTATGACAAATTACAATTTTATATGGTCATAATTTTTGCATTTTGTAAAATTTACACTATGAAATTTAAAATTTACTTATGAATATAAGTCTAGTTAAGAATAGTACAAAATATATTTTATAAAAATTGACGGAATTTTTTTTTCCCAGGCTCCAATCATCGCAATTTTGTCTTTAAAATTTAAGAATTTTAAGACTATTATTCTTGGTTTGATTGTTATGTTTGTGTTGACCGATACGATAAGCTACATCTAGCACCACTTCCCTTGTTATTTGAAGTTGTCGCTTTTTTGAAATTATCGTAATTTCTTGTAATCTATCTATTCTTAAGTTATTTCTTCTTGATCGATTTTCAAAGTCATTTTTGAAAAATAAGACTATAATGTCAATTTAGAAAATTAAGTCTTTAATGTCAATCTTTTTAAACATTGGTAATAATTTTGAAATTAGCACTCATTATTAAAGTAATTGTTTTTTCCTGCTCCTTAAGTAACCGTTCTGTTTCTTTAAGTATGCTTTTTTTGTGTTCTTCAGGTTTAGTTGAAACCATTTTTTCAATTTCTGTGTCACGTTTATTGAACTTTAAGTTTCGCCAGTATGGTAGGATGGTGTTTTGTTGCCATATTTTTTAGATTTTATTATAAACATAGGTATTTATTATAAACATAGGTACTTATTATAAACATATTTATTATAAACTAAAATCATTAAACTTTAATAAAATGTATAAGTTTAGTCTGATTTGGATAATATATAATTTTTTTTTTTCAAAACGTTTTTCAATATTGAATATTTTCTGTTAAAGTAAAGCAGTCAAAGCTTTTGTAAATACTGCTAAAAATACTAAAATGGAAATTATTATTATTTATTTCATTAAGTGTTTTTAAAAGTCATGTCCGTTTAAAAACTAAAAAGCCAGTACAAAACCTTTGAGGAAATTTTTTTTTGATTATATTGGTAATTCCATGCCTTTGTTTTATGTCAAAAACAAAAATTATTGCAATTTTCATTTGCACTAAAACTTTTGTCTTTACCAGTCAATAAGTTAATTTGTCTTTATTACCAGTCAATAAATTTGTCTATAGAAATAAAGAAAGTAAAGTTAAAAGACGCAGATAATGAAAACATTTCCAAAAAAATGTAAAATGTAAAAGTAAAATTGTTTTCCAGTATGTATAATTTTCAACACCCTTTATTTTTTGAGAGGGGAAAGAGGAGCAGAAAGAGAGAGAAAATTGTTAAAAGTTTTGATAGGAAAATTGCAACTTTGGAGAACTTTATTTCTAACGATTGTCGAATATTCTAAAACGCATAAACTTAATGTGTTAAACAAACCATCTAAAAATGTAAACAAAATAAAAAAAAAATTCTTTGCAAGCTGGTTACAAAAAAATACACGATGTATGAATTAGTATTAGTAATAATGTATGCTGGTTACAAAAAATAATGTAAAATACCTAAATTGTCATGTAATCTAAGAAGTCTTTTTAGATTACATGACAAATAATAATAATAAAATACAAAAACAAAATCAATAAATTAAAACTATAAATTAAAAATTATAACCAATAAATTGTGTGAATTTAAATTAGTTCTGCTACAAATGTTAGTATTTTCGTTGCTTTGTATTTCAAAACTTTTTTAAATTTTCTTTTAAATCAAGATTTAAATTTGATCAAAATTCATCAATAAAATTCAAATTTAATCATAAATGTTTGGCTATTTTGAACTGCTGACCGTATAAAATTTACAACTTCTTAATTAAGTAATAAAGGGTGTTTAAATCTGAAAAGTTTGCCTGAACAAACTTGAATAACTTTCAAGTTATTCAAGTTTTTTCCTATATACTTAAAATATAATTTATTTTAAGAATCGCCATAAATACCAATGCTTTATATATATATATATATATATATATATATATATATATATATATATATATATATATATATATATATATATATATATATATATATATATATATATATATATATATATATATATATATATACACACACACACACACACACACACACACACACACACACACACACACACACACACACACACACACACACACACACACACACACACACACACACACACATATATATATATTATTATTATTGTTAATATTTTAATTATTATTATTATTATTATTATTGAGTTGTGTTGTATTCTGTTGGATTTAATACAGCTCTATGTCGGTTTCAGAGTGATCGATATTTATAAAATAAATAGAGTACCTCATTTTTATAATAAGTAATAAAATTTTATAATAAATAAAAAAGTTACAGCTGCATGCCAAATATCAGTACTATTATTAAGTCCCACAACCAACACATTTTGCGCAACCGAAATACCGAAAACGTTAGAAAATGCAACTGTATAGACAGAGCTACGTGTCCTTTAGAAAATCAATGTCTCACTAAAAATATTGTTTACAAAGCTATTATAACACCAGCGAACGTCCGCCACGCTAAGAAGTCTTATATTGGTATTAGCGAAAACTCCTTCAAGATTAGATTTGAAAACACATAAAATTATTTAACTTGGTCAGGTATAAAAATGACACTGAACTTTTTAAAGAGATCTGGAAACTTAAGGAAGCAGGCATTAAACCAATAATCAAGTGGAGTACTGTTAAAAAATGTCAACCCTATAACTTATCCCTAAAAAGGTGTAATCTTTGCATAAATGAAAAGTATTTTATTTCAACATACAATAAAGAACCTTTGTTAAAAAAAAAAAGTGAGTTTGTTTCAGCATGTAGGCACAGAAAAAGGTTTTTGCTATCGAGTTTCGACACCGGTTAAATAAATTCTCATTTTGCGTGAAAACTGACGTTTGATCTCGTTGCAACGCAATTTTGTATTTTTATTACGGTTGTTATTCAAATGATTTTAAATATATGGCGAATGATTGCTGAATGGCGTGAAACTTGAAGTCCATAAAAAAGTCGTACTTTTTTCATTTAAGTATTTAATACATATATATATATATATATATATATATATATATATATATATATATATATATATATATATATATATATATATATACAGGGCCGGCGCGAGTAGGTGTCACGTGGGGGGGGGGGTGCCATTAAAAAAACGTGGGAGGGGTGCCGACTAAAAAAAAATAAAAAAAGGTCCTCGTTTTCTAAAATTTGCCGACTGCCATGACGACATTTGCCGACTGTCTAGATTACCGACTAACCTCTATCGAAAGGGTCGACATTTGCCGACTAACTAGTCTAAAAGGGTCCAACTTGCCAACTAAGGGTCCAATTTGCCGACTAAAAATCATTGATGAAAAAAATTTTTATGCCTTACTTGGCAAAAACACATACGTCACCCCCCTTCCCTTTTAGATTTCTTCGGGAATATAACTTTTCAAAAAATGCGGAAGCCTCCATTGGCCTAAGCGATTGCAGTTCTTTTGCGGCTTTTTTTTATCATATAATGTTTAAAAAACTTATTCAAAATAAAATTAATAATGTTAATAGTTGTGAATCAATAACTTTTTTAGCAAAATAATAATAAAAAGTCGTTATAAATCAGCCTAGGTTTTTAAGTTTTGAAAGTAAAAAAATGAAACACTTTTATTGATTAAAAAATTAAACTTTTATACTATTTATAAATACTTTTATTTTTATAAATAAAATGAAAAAACATCGCATGCTTCTTACAATTTTTATAGCTTAATTTAAGTGGTAAGATGAAATATTTATGCCGTTTCAATGACGAAACTTTAACCCAGTTGGGAGGAGCACTTGTCAAATATGTCTAAAATATCCATCAAAAAACCAGACAACAAAAGATCTGTTATGTTGTTAGACAGAATTTTTTTAACCAATCAAATAGCTTAAAAAGTCTTGTCTGAAAAATTCGATGGTTCATTGGTTAATATCATGTAGTTATGTTTCTAAACACGAAATGAACATTATAAGAAATAAAAATATGTTTTTTAATAAATTTGTCTTTAGTAGGTGGAAGTCTAGATTTTTCAGAAGGTTTTTCAGTCGTGTTTCTGACTCAATATTCATAGAATATATTTATTTTAATTTTATTCCTAAGTACTCGAGAAGCTTCTTTTCTTCTCGTTTTTTCTCATTGTAAAGTTTGCTATGCGTCTTCAAGAAGGTGAATCTTCTAGTAACCTTAGTGCTACTAAAGCCATATTTCCAGTCCAGTTTTTAAAAAATGTAAGTTTACATATTATCTATAAATTAACTCTTTTAATACTTTAATGCATATGTAGTTTTCCTTAAGAGTGTTTATAAAATAAGATTTTATTTTGGATTATTATGTTTTGCTTTCTACTTGGATGTATAAGTTGTAAGATCTTAAAAATTTCCAGACAATCACACTTTTTAAAGTTATGCTTTAAAAATTTCAATTTTATTTTTAAACATTATTACTTTTTTTAATTTTTTTTTAATGAAATAGTCAAAAGTCTCATTTTATTGCAGTTTTTCATGGTCAGTGTATACATAACAAGTCTTTAGTTACACTGTCTCCTTTTTTTAACTTACTTATTTTTAAAATTTTATTTATATCTTATTTATATTTTATTTATCTATATAGTATGTTTGTATCTTATTGTTAAGAGACTTTGTGTGTGTGCTTGTTTGTGGTGTAAAAAATCCATAATTTTTATTTAACCTTGCTATTTCGTTAACAATATTTTACTGATTTTTTATTTTTTATTTTCTCAATTATTTTATCTAAATTAAACCTTGGATTATTTTAGAATATTTTATTTCCAACCATGGAATATAATGCTTCTTTATGCAGAGAGAAAAAAATGTTTTGTCATTTGAAAGAAGATAGTTGTACATCTTACTGTCTATGTAGAGCTGGTCGAACATATAATCGTATACTCTTACCTTCAACAGTTGAAAAAAAGCACACTATATGCTCCCAAAATGTTGAGGTTTTTTTTTTTCTCAGTTAATTTTTTTCCCCCTAATTTATCAGTAACAGTATGATCAACAGTTATTTAAATAAGATTAAACATTTATTTACACAAAGTATTTTTTTTAGGATTGTTTATCAAACTCTTGGCATATGAATTCTGGTATAAAAAATAACTATGATTCATTTTTGCTGAATAGACTCTCATCTTCATATAACAAATATAATAATGAAAGGTACTATATTAATATATATATATATATATATATATTAATATATATATATATATATATATATATATATATATATATTAATATATATATATATATTAATATATATATATATATATATATATATATATATATATATATATATATATATATTTTCAAGTTTTTTTTAATTGTTTTTTTTAAAACTGGTTAATTAAATGACAGATTTTTTTTTTATATATAATAGTTGTTCAATATTGGATTATGCTCTTTTGGCAAGTGCGAGGCGTAAAAATGCTACCAAAGAAACAACAAGTGTACTTAAATCATGGCTTAATGAACATCGCAAAAACCCTTATCCTTCTAAGAGTGAAAAGGTAATGCTAGCTATAATGACAAAAATGACATTGACCCAAGTTTCTACATGGTTTGCAAATGCTAGACGTCGTCTTAAAAAAGAAAATAAAATGACTTGGTCACCACGTAAAAAATCTAATAGTAAGAATAGTTTAAAGGAGGGTAGTAGTTGTAGCAGTGAACCAATACCAGAGGAAATGGATATTGATATCAAGGAACAAATATTTTCAGCTCAAGGTAATGTTTTTAAAGTTATGAGAACAAATAAGTTTTGTCTAAATTTTTAAAATTCTATATTTTTTTCCTAGTTAATAATATTTGACTATTGATTTTACTTGTTATTAGATTGCAATATCAATACCAATGAAGAAAACAGTGGTAAAAATTGTATAGAGACTCCTTTTTCTGTAGCACAAGATACTAAAATTCAAAGGCCAAGTGTGATATGTGTTCTTGAATCTCCTACTTTTGATCAAATTAAAAATCGATTTAGTCGCGATCCTTCGCCTGTAGATCATTTACAAAAATGGGTTGATGGTTGTTCTCAGGAAAAACCTGATGATTTAGTTTGCATAAAAGATTTAACTCCTCCGTTAACACCGATTGATAATAGAGTAACAACTTTTACATCTCAAAAACTTTTTGAAGCTTTTGATGCTGCTAAAATTAATAAAAACAATGATACTCAATACAATAAAAGCAACTCATATGCATCAGAGCCCATCAGTTTAATATTCTCATCAAAACAACCTGTTTGTTCAACAAAAGAATGCAGTGTTGAGGTTTTAATGCCAGAAAGTCTGTCGTCTTCTTTTACACCACCATCTCCTTCTTTCACGCCTCAACCATCACCTACTGATACAACTCTTTATAAAAGAGATTTTTCTAATAAAAATGATAAAAACAATATAAAAAATGGTTGTGATAATCAATCGAATTCTGCTGATTTTAGGTGAGCTTAGAACATGACTGTAATTTTAACAATCTGCTTTTTTAAAAAAAAAAAAAGTTTATAAAACTTGATGGTTAATAAAACATTATTTGCAACATGTGTGTATTTTTGATAAACATTATTTGCAACATGTGTGTATTTTTGATAATTTTATGTTTAGATCACAAGGTCTGACTACATCTCGAGAGTTAGAAGCTGTTTTGGCCTTGACTGCATTGTGTAAAACATAACATAAGATGATTGTATTTATTTGACTCATAGTAAAAGAGAGTTCTATCTCATATGCAAGTTGAAGAACAAACCCCAAATGATACATTATGTCATTCCAGAAAATAATAAATGCAATAATATCCTTGAAACATTCCATTCATAAATTTATACATCATTTAATGTATAAATTTAAATTTGTTAACTTAACATTGCAAACAGTTATTATTTTTGAATGACACGAATTTTTATCTTAATAACGCCGAAATTTGTTTATTAATTTAAAAATAAAGACTTTATTTTGACTATACTTGTGGTTTTACAAAATGTTTTTATTTTGGTTTTTATAATATTTATAAATTTATTTTAAGCGTAATATTAAATGAACATAGAGATATTTTCACTGAGAAACTTGATGATTGTTTTTATATGTTAATCGTTTATTGAGTTAAAAATTCTCTAAACTTTATATAGTAGTCTAAATTTTAGTACTAAAATTCTTTTATTTAAACATTCGTTACTGGTTTAAAGTTTAGTTTTACAATATTTAACAATTAAATTGCAATTAGAATAGAAAAGTAATACAATAATAGTTTCTTTGTTTACACAGGGGTTGCGAAATTTATAGCTATGTAACTATCGCGGTATATTAATTACTTTTTTAATTGGCTCCTTTTTTTCAGGAGACACAATCCGGTAAAACGCATTAGCTACAATATTTTCCGTTAAATTCAAACTCTTAAACAAACAAGTTTCCGGTAAATTAAAACCATTTTCTGAACTCAGGTGAAAAGTTCAGCATTGTAAAAAACCAATCGTAGGCCCTTTATGTCGTCAAGGTAACCGCAATGTTTTAGATTTTATTATTTGCTTTAGATAAAAACATTTTTGATTTTGTTTTAACATTATTTCGATTCACTTATAGTATAGGTGCAATTTTGTAAAAATATTCTGCTATTAAAAAAAACTAGTAATTCAAGGGCAAAGTTGATGTTAATATTATTAACTTTACCCAGGAAATACTTAAACATAGTGTAGAAAAAATTACCTGGGACATGGAATTTTAATTAACAAAAGTTACTGTATAACACATTTAAATTGATTTATTACAAACTCAAAAGCGCATTAAGATATACCAATACCGAAAGAAAAAAAAAAAACAATGCCGACAGCAATACGCGTGTTGTTTCATTTCCATTGGTTGCTTGCTGCGCATAATATATTTAATTTTTTAAACAAACTTTTATACAAAAAAAATTTAATGAGTTTGACAAAACATTGAAACTTAAGAATATTTTTTATTTGATATCAATTTTAGTTAAATTGAAATAAATTTTAGTTTAATAATAATAATTCAAATTGGTTTAAACAAATGTTTTTAATTAATAGCATATTAACATGTTCAAAAATTGGCTTGATGAACATTTTGTTCATTTAAAAAAGATAAACAAACGGTAACACAAAATAAACTCCTTATGTTTTTAAGGCACTTGTGTAAAAGATGTGCACGAGCGTTGATGTCAGTGTAGAAGTGCCTGATGCAGCACATCTTCGTAGATAATTTTGAATTAAAAAAGTAGTTATTTATTTTAATATCTTATTGTTTATGCTTTTTAAAATTATTGACCACTGAAATTAACTAAATTGCTATTGTTTATTCTACTTTTTTAATCGTTAATTATTATTAGCAGTAGTATTTTGTAGTAGTTGTTTATTAGTATGAGTTATTGTATTGATATTTTTTATTATGTTTATTTTTTATCACAAGTCGCCTAACTAAACTTACATTGTTTATTACAATCGGTGTTTGAAATGAAGGTAAAAAGTAATAACATGATTTTCAGTAATTATAAAAAACCATCTCTTCTAACCATTATACCGTAAGTCTGATTTATGAAAATACGGCATAAATTATATTTCCATAACATATAAACATTTGAGTGGAGTAAATGTTTAATGAAAAAAAAAAAAAATTAATTAATTTAATGTAATAGTAATGAATCATGCCACTTAATTAATGTAGTTAGTGGCACAAAATATAACTGTAAAATGTTCAAAATTTGTTTAACTTGTTAAAATTTAACTTGAGTTTGAACAGTCAGTAATTATTTTTTTAACCGGGATAGGCCAAACCAACTCTTCTAAAAAATAAAAAAATCAAATTTGTTATTTAAATATGTTTAAAATGTAACATTGTAATTATGGTTGCATTTGAACATATGTTTTTTTAAGAGAAACGGGCAATAGCCTCCCTGTACATAAAACAATCACTTAAATAATAGTTCACTGTCTGTTTTTGGCGTGCAAAAGAGTTTGTAAAAAGATTGGAAACACAATGCCAAAGAGCCACTGTGTTTCCAATTTTTGCTAATGTATGAAGTAATGAAGTAAGCAAGTGTTATTATAAAAATTGAGCAAGAGTTTTATTTGCTGTTTTAAACTGCCTTTTTTTTTCTTTCCAAAATTAACCTCAACCCTTCCTGCAAGACAAAAGAACAACTAAAAAAGTTCAACCACTGATAAAACACCTGAGTTTTTATCAAAATTTAAACTTGCTGCTAATGATGCATTAATCTGGTTGATTGGAAGTCTACAAGTAAAAGAATCATAAGTAGATGATTTCTGCGTTAGAGCCTTTTTACGCACAGAAATGAAGATTCACTATTACAGTTCTTTAATCTAAAATATCATATAATTAAATAACACGCATTTTTTTAAATAAATTTTATATGTACCTACCGTTGCATACGTAATATGGGTCGGATTCTATATCGCTTATAAATATTATTTAAAGGTAAAAAATTCGAGTTCCAAAATGTACGCATATGTTAATTAAATTAAAATTTTTTGTCTTCAAAAACCGAAATGCTGTATTACTTTAACAAACTTTTCCGAAATAAAGAGGCTAAGAGGTATTGTTATTGGTTAATCAATGCGTTTTTTTACATATCTTGTTTATGTGGTTCACCTTTAGTTGAACCACATAGCTGGTATGGCATGCTTTTAAAGTGCGCTCTTATACAAAAAACTGACACAGCATATACGCTATTATTTACGCTCACTTGCAACTAAATTTGTGAGTTTATAAAATAAATGATTAAAATTTTTACTATAAATTAAAATTAGTTGTGGTTACAATAGCTAACAAATTTAAACATAGTGAAGCTTTAAACCTGAATTCAAATAGTAATAACCCTTTATTTTGAGGAACATTTAATATTACTCTAACTAAATACCAATAAATTTTTTAAACAAAATTTGAGGCAGATCTATTAATTTGATTAAAGAAGTTCTCAATTTGAGCTTTTACTAAACATATTTACTAACACCAAATCCAAATCAAACTCCCCCGATCACCATTACCTCCTTAATTTTTAATGGTTTTTTTTAGCTGTACAATAAAATTGTAGTCTTTAGAAATCTTATCTTATCTAAGACATCTTATCAACACATTTGAAAAAATCTTTTACATAGATTTTTTTGTATAACACGCATATAACAACGTCAAAGTTGTTATATGCTAGGTATAAATAAATGTATCCAGAATTATGCTATCATAGTAACATATTTGTATGTAATTTTTCAGCTAATATTTGATTGCAAGGTTTTGTAAACTAAACTTGTAAAAGTAGAATTAACGAGAGATGTTATTTATTTTGAAAGTTTGATGAAACAACACTGTAGACTCGATATAATCATGAGCTTATTTTTATTTTAAATTTTATGTATATATATATATATATATATATATATATATATATATATATATATATATATATATATATATATATATATATATATATACTAGAGTATCTAATAAATATATATATAAAAGATCTAAAACAACATTTTTTGAAAATTTTTTTGCCATAGTTTGAACAGCGCCTCAATTAAAACACCTGCATTTATTTTTGAAATAAAAATATGGCTATATTTTTCATTTTTCTAGTAAAACATCTTATTTTCTACGTTTTGACTCATTTTGAAAGTTATTCCTCAAAAATCGCATGTGCACCATTTATTTAAAAAATTTTTGCATCATTTTTTTTTGGTGATCTAATTTTGTTTTCATACTATATTGATTGTGCTGGGTAAACTATAACTATAGGTTACATTTTTTTATACAGTTTTTTGTGCTTAATTCGATTGGATTTAAAATGCAAAATAACAATATAAACTTATCTTATAATTTGTTGCAAGCATGATATTGAAGTGATATAACAAAATAGTCCAAAGTTTCCTTGATTGGAACTATAAAGTTTTCCTTACTTAATCAGTAATAAAATAAAAGGGTTGTAGAAAAAGTTCAGGCGCAATTTAAAAATACTTAGAAACAACCATAAACCTTAAAAATAATGTTTTTTTTAATGTTTTTTAATCAATAAATTAAGAGAACGTCATAACAGTTGAAGCTTTTATACAATTTTTTGTTTTTAGAATTTTAGTTTGCCAGGGTAATATTAATCCTATTATAAGTTTTGAATGAACTATTAAAATTTTCACTGAAATATAAAAATCATTTTTGATCAATTTTTGTTGATTTTACAGGGTTTTTTTAAAAAAAAAATCAATCTTTTCTGATTAATTTAGGGAACCAGTTGCCTTGATTGGAACAAAATCTTTGCAAAAACAAATTTATTTCCAATAAAAGTGCAATCAATTAAGTCACATTATGGTTAGAAGTATAATAAGGTTGTTTGTTTGTATTAATCAAATCATAAATATTTTTTTATAGTTAAGCCTTTTTTGGTCAATAAATATTTATTCCTTAAATGTTCTGATTAAGGCAACTCTCCCCTATGTAAGTTCAAAGAAATTGTTAAGGTTTAAACGCTTAAAAAAAGGAAGTCAACTAATTTTCAACTTATCCATTGGTTGCTCAATTTTTTGTTAACTCATAAAGCACTTATTTTTTGGCACATCAACAAGCAATGCATAAAACAATAATACTTAAGTATAAAACAATAATAACTATAACTAATAAAATATAATAATAATAACTAATAAAACAATAATACTTAAGTATTATTGATTTATTAGCAAAATATAATCTAATTTTAAATAAATGTTAAGCAAACCAAATAAAATGCTGAAATCCAAAAAAAATGAAATCTTTTCTGTTCTGGTTTTAAAAAAAATAAAAAATGAAACTATACTATAAATAAAATAAAAATTTTTAAATTCCATACGACTCAAGATATTTAAAAACAGGTTAAACCTGTGAACTTCATTGTTATTTATTTTCAGAAAAGATATAAAAGAAGCCCATAGGCGCTTGTCATTAAAAAATTATTTTTCGGATTTCATGAAGTTAAAGACCAAACTGTCTTACCGGTTGTCCAACCAAGTTATTAAATACATGAATGACAAAGATATGCCTCCAAAAAGTGTAAAGGACAAGAATATGATGA